GTACTTGCAATACCTCTGAAGCAACTTACAATACATTACACCTACTGAATACACTGACTAGCTTGTAGTATCTTTGGAATAAAGAGCTTTTAGAATGTTAAAAACCTATGGGGAAAAAACAAAACAAAAAATTATTATTATTTAACACCCCTACCCACCCCCGCAAAAGCAGGATGGTAGTGATCTCGCCTTTAACAAAAAAGCAAAACAGCAAGACTTATTTGACATAAAACAAACAGTTCTTCTGTGGCTTTATAGGTAATATTTTCACTTACACAATTTAGCAAAATCAGACAATATTGTGTCTAATATAAACCACAATATTAACTTCTTATTATTGAATTGTTGTAAATAAATATCACATTTGGAACTAGTCAGTGCTCAAAAAATGCTGGAAATCACTTCATGTAGCCCCAAGAGTGATTACTGATAAAGTCATGTTTTAGAGGAGAAAAAAATCACCCACTGACTTTCAAAGCTGCTAACGACTTTCTACTTTGAGGATCTTGATAGAAATGTAGTGGAGTGAAAAGTACAATATTTGTCTTTCAAATGTAGTGAAGTTAAAGTCATAAGTTTCCAGAAAAAAATAATACTCAAGTAAAGTACAGATACTCAAAGTGTACTTAAGTACAATATAACTTGAATATAACTTACCAAAATGTGTCATCTCTCGTGTAATCACTCACGGAAAGATGATTCCCCGTGTAGTTTTCAGCGTTAGTTGGGAGAGTTTTTTCCTTTAGGAAAATCAGACAATCCGTATCGGAATCAGTATCGGCAGATGTCATTCTAAATAACTGGCTAATACAGCGAACATTGAACCAGACGATTTAAATGTTATTCAAGCAAGCTTATTGGCTACAGAATTATGCTGCGTTCAAGTCCTCCTGGGACGTTCGTACTTACGAGTTGACAAGTCGTAGTTACGACGTCAGGTGCGTTCAAGTCAGTTTAGTCGGCACAAGATGGCGGTGTACCTTCTTTTAATAAATTACAAGAAATTACAACAGGGTCTGTTAACTCTGCTTATAGAAAATGAAGAGCAAAGAATTTGCATCAGGTGTGTTTTGCGTTTTTAATATTTTTTAAAACATGCGACATGGCAAATCAAAAGATTTTTCACCTATAGGTGCACAAATGATAGCATTTTTTTTTACTTGGATTTCATTAACTAGCTGCGTAACAAGAACATGACCAATTTAAGTTTATAGGACAACTAAACTATCAATTTAAACAAAATTTACCGTCAACTACAGACGTTGCATCCATCGATTCCGCCATGTTTCTCATTGACACGCCCCCAACTCGGAAACTCGGGGCTTAAAGAAAATTTCGAGTTTCCCACTCGTAATAACGACTTTGTGGTGGCGTTCATGTGCGTTCAACTCGTAAATACGATCTATCCGACATGACTTGAACGCACCATTAGCCTGTGCCCTGTAGTAAATGATGTGATTGCTAACAGATTGCATGCAAAGAAACGGCGCCATCTAGAGTTTTATGACTGAACTAGATATTTATTTAAGTGTTTATTTTGTGCTCTCAATGTTAATTTCAGGTGAACGGCTGGGACATGACTATGGTGACTCATGATCAGGCACGAAAGAAACTCACCAAGAAGAATGAAGATGTGGTCAGGCTTCTCGTCACTAGAAAATCCCTGGAGAATGCAGTCAGACAGTCCATGATGCAACACTAATGCAGATCTAATCGAATGTCTTTATTGGTTAATCACATGTTCAGAACATGTTTTAACTAATAAAAAACAAACAGCCTCCCTCAGCCAAAGAGTGATGTCAAGAAACCCTTTATACTCAGTGTGGACTAACAAGGACTTGTGTTAAAGATCATTTTGATGTATTGAACTCTAACTGAACCAGTGTGTGTGTGAGTACAATCTAAAGATTGTGGTTTGCATTCCATACTTTGCTACACTAATTTAAATTTAGTTACACTTTATACTACACTATCTTTAGCACATACTCCTGAATGTATCTTGGAGTCTATAAACTCCATATCATTTCATTCATAGATCTCAAGGGCTACAGTGAATTGTGTTCACCTCATTTCTCGTTAACGCTTACACCTACATATACGCCCATTAATTAATCAATCAAGTAATGTGGGAAACAGCCAGCATACAGTTGTACTTCAATGACCACTAATTTTGCTATTTTTTGTTTCTCTTCATCTTATAACTTTGTTTTTGTACTTAATTAACACAATATTAGCCTAATGATGCTATTGAAATATCATCCTCTGACCAGATAAATGGCTCCATCTGGATTTGGCACAATTGAGAACACTGCAGTTTTGTATTTAGCAATACTTTTTTTTTCTCTCTCTCATTTTTCCTGTTTTGAAAATGTTTTTGATACAGATTTTTTGGCGTTTGATTGTATGAAGATATATTTTCACGTAAGCGAATAAAGTAATCTTCTAGCACATGCTTTGTGTGTTTTAATAACCTAAATGGAGTGTTTGCTGTCTCAGCTCTGATGTTGAATGAGTCTCTGATTGGCTCTTTTGTCAGGCTTTAAATGTCTGTGTCTTCACGTTAAGCTTGAAGATGGTGACATTTCAGAGCAACAAATCTATTTCCTGACCTTTTGCTGTTTGTCTAGGCAGTTTTGTACTTCAGGCTACTTTCATCTCTTTAATGTTAGCAGGCAAAGGTGAGCATGCAACCAGGTAATGCAACTCACAAAGTGCTGGGAAAGTCAAGTCACCTTTATTTATATAGCGCTTTATACAATACAGATTGTGTTCAAACAGATTTACAGTATTAAACAGGAAAATAGTGTGCCGATAATGCAAGAGGACAATAACAAACAGTAAATTTTTCAGTTAAAGTCAGTTCATCATTGATTCAGTGATGTCATCATCCAGATCAGCTCTCTTCTAATAGTATCTGTGTGAATCAAGTCGACAATATTGCCAGAAATTAAGCGTCCCCAACTAAGCAAGCCAAAGGCGACAGTGCATGGCAAAGAACCAAAACTCCATCGGTAACAGAATGGAGAAAAAAAACCTTAGGAGAAACCAGGCTCAGTCGGGGGGCCAGTTCTCCTCTGACCAGACGAAACCAGCATGGTGTGGTTTAATTCCAGGCTGCAACACAGGTCAGATTGTGCAGAGGACTCGTCTGGTTCCAGTGGTCTTGTGCCGAGTCTGTGTCTTCACGTTAAGCTTGAAGATGGTGACATTTCAGAGCAACAAATCTATTTCCTGACCTTTTGCTGTTTGTCTAGGCAGTTTTGTACTTCAGGCTACTTTCATCTCTTTAATGTTAGCAGGCAAAGGTGAGCATGCAACCAGGTAATGCAACTCACAAAGTGCTGGGAAAGTCAAGTCACCTTTATTTATATAGCGCTTTATACAATACAGATTGTGTTCAAACAGATTTACAGTATTAAACAGGAAAATAGTGTGCCGATAATGCAAGAGGACAATAACAAACAGTAAATTTTTCAGTTAAAGTCAGTTCATCATTGATTCAGTGATGTCATCGTCCAGCTCAGTTCATTTCAAATATTGCCTGTGCAATCAAGTTGACAATACTGCCAGAAATTAAGCGTCCCCAACTAAGCAAGCCAAAGGCGACAGTGCATGGCAAAGAACCAAAACTCCATCGGTAACAGAATGGAGAAAAAAAACCTTAGGAGAAACCAGGCTCAGTCGGGGGGCCAGTTCTCCTCTGACCAGACGAAACCAGCATGGTGTGGTTTAATTCCAGGCTGCAACACAGGTCAGATTGTGCAGAGGACTCGTCTGGTTCCAGTGGTCTTGTGCCGATGGTCGTCGAGGTGACGAGGTCTTAGCATCCCCGCCAGTTCTCCTCTGACCAGACGAAACCAGCATGGTATGGTTTAATTCCAGGCTGCAACACAGGTCAGATTGTGCAGAGGACTCGTCTGGTTCCAGTGGTCTTGTGCCGATGGTCGTCGAGGTGACGAGGTCTTCGCAGGGGATCTATCTCTGGGGCTCATCTATTTGACGTGGTCTCCGCTGACATTCAGGGCTGTAGAGGTGGTCTCTAGATGCTGATTCACCATCTGTGGGCTGGTTCTGGGTGGCTACGGTGACCTCGGAATGAGAATAAAACAATATTAGTGTAGATGCCATTCTTCTTAAAGGGTTAGTTCACCCAAAAATGAAAATTCCCATCAAAAATATCTTCATTTGTGTTCCGAAGATGAACGAAGGTCTTACAGGTTTGGAACGACATGAGGGTGAGTAATTAATGACAGAATTTTCATTTTTGGGTGAACTAACCCTTTAAGATTTAACAAGTACATTGGGTGCTATGTGAAGTGTTCCCGTTTCCGGAAAGTGAGGCTGCTGTTAATTATAGGGCAACACGTCTAATGCTTCAAATGCTCCTCCATGAAGGAAAAATGGTTCATCCCAGGGCCAGTACCTTTTCAAAAGGTACTAATATATACCAAATAGGTACTAATATGTTCTCTTTCGGTATTAATATGTACCTTTAAGGTACTAATATGCAGCTTTTAAGGGTAAATAAAGTACAAAAGGTACCACCACAGTAACGGCTTTTGTACCTTTTTTTTCTGATAGTGTTTATATGTAAACAAACAAATGGCATTCTGCTAATCAAGTCTGCATCAAGATTTTATCTAACCACTAGGATACAGAACACATTAAAATTAAATGTTTTTATTGAATAAACATTTTAGTGAACAAAGATTGATAATTAAAATAATATGCAAGATCTTAGGAAATTATGTATGAATAAAATATAATGTTCCAATTAATTCAGCTGCGTTTAATCTGCCTTAAAATAAGAAAAAAATACACAGTTTTGGACACAAAAATAAGACGATCCAGATGGAAGTAAAAAACGCAGGAAGTTTTAAAACAGAAGAAAATATTATTTAGATTTATTATTTAGATTTTAACTTTTTTTGTTGTTATTTTGAAATTGTACAATTTATGTACAGTGCTTGTCAAAAGTTAAAAGGAAACATTATGATTTAAAAAAGTTTTTAATGAACTGTCTTTTGCTCACCAAGGCTGCATATATTTGATCCAAAATAGAGGTAAAACCAGTAATATTGTGAAATATTAAAATCTGAAATAACTGTTTTCTATTTAAATATATTTTAAGATGCAATTTATTTCTGTGATGCAAAGCTGAATTTTCAGCAGCATTACTCCAGTCTTCAGTGTCACATAACAATTTATGATTTTATCACTATAAAGCCTACTGACTGTAATGACATAATGATTAGTCACTGACTCGCTGCTTAGCTAATTTGTAATAAGAACACAGTTACAGCCTTTAGAAAAGTAAACCCAAACCTTTTATAATTATATTAACTGTGTCTAATGCGTGTCATGCCTGTTTCTCAGCAGCTGAATGTATAATTACGGTAGTTAAATGTAGAACATGTATGCAACATACACCCACACTCTGCATGGCAGGCCTGTTGTGTTACCATAGCGATGCAATCTGCTGCTCTCATCTTTGAAAAATGCGAAATGCGCTGTTATATGTTAAAGCCATGTTTTTAGTCCTTACACTTCCTGAAGAATTGTAAGTAGTTGAATTATAAGAATTGAAGTATGTGATTGCATGTTGAAAATGATATTTTTCAAAATGGTGGGAATACTGCAAATTTGACATATATAAGTACAATTTTGAGCTTATGTCACTAGTGGTTTGAAGTATAAAGACTCCAAATTTCCCATGGTAGGCCTATAAGAGGGAATGTTCCCTCTCGGCTTATATATATAAAAGCTCTATAAATGTTAAGACAAAACATGGAACATTCTTATTACTTTATTAATATTTGATATAGGCCTACATTCTCATAATGTTGAGAGAAAATGTTCTGAGAACAACATTCTCTTATTATTTGTACTTGCTGAACGTTTGCACATGGTGGCTTAAATTCGTGCTTATATTTTCTAAAAACAGTATTCTGTACATGAATAGTTATTTGCCAATCTTGCAGAAGTAAAAGATGATTAGCTACTATCTGTTCCATATCACAACACACTTGGTCATGAAAATACATTCATGCAAACGTACAATAACATATATAAAATTAAATGAACCCTTATCCCTGTGCTGCTGCAAAACAAAGAAAAAGGCAGGTTCCTTGGGGAAAGTTGCAAGGAAAAGAGCGAGATGAGTTTGTAAAGACACGTGTGTAGGTGGTGAGTGGGTAGATCGGAGCAGAAGGTCACACACACACACACACACACACACACACACACACATCTGAAGGCTGGACCTCAACAAGTAAGAGCAATCACATTGTCATGGTAATGAGATACGATGAATATTTGTCTCTTGCCTTCGAGTAGGCCTACTACAGTGCTAAAAATCATTTTCACTTTATATACATATTTATCATTTAATGAAGATCATATTTCACATATAATAACTTCAAATGACAATGTGTCCCCGGCATTGATCAGTCATTAGATGAAACCGCTCAGCGGGTGTTACAGCAGCATAGTACGCTGTACGCTCAGTATTAAACGCCTCCCCCAATGAGACTTTTTTAAAGTGTTGATTCTTTGCGCAGTCGGGCAGTAGGTCGTTGTTTTCTCTCACAGGAAAAAAAAAATCCTTAACCTTCTCCTCCCACGCAAAAATCACTTTCTCCGCCGTGAGCGCAGAATAAAGCGCTCGAGAGAAGAGAAGAGTTACTAGAAACGCGCACGAGAGAAGAGAAGAGATACAAGAAGAGCTGCCACTAAATGGTAAGTCGTATGTTTTAAAATGCAAATTGTATTAAATTATTTTCTAATATTCAACTGAGCTAGCTCTTTGGATGAGGCATCAACTTGTCAATAATATGAATTCTTCCTTTCGTTCTTTCTTTTAGTTTGTTTTGTCTCGCCAAAATGTAGCCTAGGCTACATCCAAACATTAATTCTGTATCTAAAAAACCCCGTAGTCAGAAAACAACCTGTTCAGTTCATAAATACATCATCCACCCTCTTTTTTTCTCCTGAGTGTGTGATGTTCTGGTTCAAGTGTGGATCTTTTGGTTCACTGTTGGCAAGTGGTGCTTTGTAGTGCTCACCTGGGGTGTTTGTCGATGTGTGTATTTATGCTGATTTAAGATCAGTGATCAGACCATCAAGCAGGGATCAATGGAGGGAAAACTGGCCCTAGATCAGGTCAAAAGGAATGCTGTGTACCTCTGCTGTCGCTCAGTATGGGGTCACTTGGAGGGTGAGAGAAGGTCATGCTGTATAAAAACCTGTTTCATGTGCGTTTGGCCCGAGTTGAGCTTTACCTGTGACCACTTCAGTCCAATATCTCCAGCACTAACCCACTGCAGAGCAACCATGAGTGGTGAGTGAACCCATATCAAGGTTTTATACTATAGATTAGTAAGGAAAATCTGAGGTGGAGTTGCTGGGTGACAAATAGATTAGGTACTTAAATTGAATTCATGT